AGTAAATTGGTCGAAAAATTAAGAGAAAAATAGAAAAAAATTGTAAGAGGATATAAAAGGTTTTTGGAAAAAATTCTTACCTTGTGTGGTCAAAACCTGATTAAAATTGGATGGGTTTGTTTATAAGACTTTAGTAAAATTAGCTTTTGTATTGATAGTACACAAATATAAAAGTAGAATTTCAGCCAGGTGCAGTGCCTCATGCCTATAATCCCAGCACTTTGGGAGGCTGAGGTGGGCAGATCACACGGTCAGGAAATCAAGACCATCCTGGCCAACATATTGAAACTCCCATCTCTACTAAAATACAAAAAATTAGCCATGTGTGGTGGAGTGCACCTGTAGTCCTAGCTACTCAGGAGGCTGAGGCAGGAGAATCACTTAAACCCAGGAGGCAGAGGTTGCAGTGAGCTGAGATCACGCCACTGCACTCCAGCCTGGCAACAGACCAAGACTCCGTCTCAAAAAAAAAAAGGTAGAATTAATTTTCTATTTTGAACACAATTTTCATAAATTAATAAAAGATAAAGTTGTTTAACTTTTGAATAATCTTCTATTTAAAAATGGGTGGAGGATGAAAAACCTTTGATTCTTTGGTGGTCAAGTAGGCACACATGGTATGGAGCTGCAGCTGGCTGTGCTCAGTTACTAAAAGTCACCATTGAAATTTAGAGATGTATCCAAATCCCAGGGAGTTGGTACACTGGATACATAAGAAAACGCAAACTAGCCGTCAAAACAGAGCCACATAAACAGCAAGGGTGCTACTGTGAACAGTGCATGCAAGGGATACAGATGCGCTCCTTATGTGAATCTGTGCTAAAATAAGAAAAAATAAACAAACAAAAATTTAGCCTGTGAGGTTAGAACCAAGACGGTCATGTTAGATTTCTGTCATTTATAATTCTGCAAAGGTGGTTTCAGGTTCTGCGTCAACCTGAACACGCTCTTCCATCCAGCATCATTTAAAACCAAAGATGCTGCTGCCCCTAATTAGTTACTCTCACAATCCATTTCAGTAATGGTTCCTCAGGAAACTATTTCAATCTATAAAGTGAAACAATTTCTTCACATTATACTCTCCAGTTTGAATAGTTACTTGGTTTTGCTCTTTCCCACACTGACTACCTTCTTGGTGGCCATAGGTCTCAGACACATTTTCTGTTGTCTCTAAATGATTCTGCCCTTGGTGAGAGGTGACTTTTAGGCTGGCTGGTGGCTTTCGCTTAGATGGACTAAAGTCTAAGCTTGATCTAGCATTACGTTTGGACCCAGCACTCTCTAATTTTTTAAGGTCTTATATATAACAAATGATTGAATAATTTGTTTTTTGCTTATTAGCTTGCATTTTCTTATGCATCCAGTGAACCAGATTGAATATTTTGCTTTTGGTATATTAGCTTGCATTTTCTTTTGAGATGGAGTCTCACTCTGTTGCCCAGGCTGGAGTGCAGTGGTGTTATCTCGGCTCACTGCAACCTCTGCCTCCTGGGTTCAAGCAATTCTCCTGCCTCAGCCTCCCAAGTAGTTGGGACTACAGGTGTGTGCCACCACACCCAGCTAATTTTTGTATTTTTAGTAGAGATGGGGTTGCACCATGTTGGCCAAGATGGTCTTGATCTCTTGACCTCGTGATCCACCCATCTTGGCCTCCCAAAGTGCTGGGATTACAGGCAAGAGCCACCATGCCTGGCCTACGTGGCTGTATTACATGACACAAAACCTGGCTTACTCTAGAAAAATTAGATGCAATAACTTTGACAATAGTCAAAGGGAAAACCCAAATCAAATTCCCCAAATCCCATAAAACAGGGGTCCCCACCAATCCCCAGGCCATGGACTGTACCAGTCCATGGCCTGTTAGGAACTAGGCCACACAGCACCACACAGCAGGAGTGAGCATTCCCATCTGATCTCTACCTCCTGAGCAGCGGCGGCGCTAAAAATCATAGGAGTGCAAACCCTATTGTGAACTGTGCATGTGAGGGACCTAGGTGCACTCCTTATTTAATATAACCAGTGCCTGATGATCCGAGGTAGAAGAGTTTCATTCCAAAACCATCCAGCCCCCTGCACCACCATCCATGAAAAGATTGTCTCCCATACAACCAGTCCCTGGTGCCAAAAATGGCTGAGGACTGCTGCCATATAAGATCACTTAGAATTCTGCATAATTTTCTTTCTTTCTTTCTTTCTTTTTTTAAGATGGGGTTTCACCATGATGGCCAGGCTGGTCTTGAACTCCTGACCTCAGGTGATCCGCCCACCTCAGCCTCCCAAAGTGCTAGGATTACAGGCATGAGCCACCGCGCCCAGCCAAATTCTGCATAATTTTCAAAATGACACACCTGACAGGTTCTGTGGCTTTGGCACCTAAGCTATTCTATTTGTTGCCTAGAACCCATTAAGAGGAATGGTCAATGGCAAGCACAGCCCATAGGTACACACCTAGAAAGCAGCAGTAAGAGCACAGTTGTTGGGATCAGACAGCCTGGGTAGAGGGCAGGTCCACAGGTAAACTGCTGTATTTTGTAACCTCAAGTCCTTTAAAATTTATTCATACCATGATGTATTCTCATACAAGATTATACATCACTAAATATGTACATAGACTGGGGGAGAAAATGATCAATGGATCAATCATTGATCAAGGATCAATGCAATGGTATTGCAACTGGATCAATGCAATGATCAAAATACACAATGCAATTGGTATTTTGCAAAGATTTCTATCGGTTTTATATCAAAGATGGCAGGCCATTTCCTAGTTGTAAACACTGGGAAAAATTAAAATGAAAAGGCTTATAGGATAGAACACAGAAACAAGGGGTATTTACAGAATATCTGCATTGTTATAAAAATGGGATAGGACAGTTCTCAAAACATCAGCAACAAAATCACCTAGAAACTTGTTAGAAATGTTACTTTCTATGGATTAGAATGAGGACAAATCACAATTTTTGTGGAATGTTAGGAATGTAAAATGGTGCAAGTTTTATGGAAAAGTGTCTCAGTTCATCAAACAATTAAAGTTAGAATTACCATATGATCCAGCAGTTCCACTTTTTTGGATATACCCAATAAGAATTGAAAGCAGGATCTTGAAAAGATATTTGTGCCCTTATGCTTGTAGTAGGAATATTCACAAAAAGGTAGAAGCAACCCAAGTGTCCATGAGTAGATGTCAGAAATAAAGAAAATATGGTAGATGCAAGCAATGAAATATTGCTCAGCCTTAAAATTTCTGATACGCGCTAAAACATAGATGAACCTTGAGGATATTATCCTAAGTGAAAAAAATAATAAAAAGAAAAGCACTCTAAGGTTCTTCTTCTACGAAGTACCAAGAATAGTCAGATTCATATGGACTTAAGAATAGAATGGTGGTCACCAGGGACTGAAGGAATGTGGAAATGAGTTGTTATTTAATGGTTCTAGAGTTTCATTTTGTAGGACGAAGAGTCCAGGATATTCTTTGCACAACAATATGGATGTACTTCAAGTATTAAACAGGACATTACAATAGCTAAGATGGCAAATTTTATGTTGCAGGTACTTTACCATTATTTTTAAAAAAACATATAATACTAGTTCTCAGTGCTAAATCAGAGATTTCTGGGTGATGTCGTTCACCATCTTGGCTACATTCAAGGCATCTACAAGGCCTTTCTCCAGTGTGAACCATGTGATGTCTAAGTAGCAGCAAAAGGATGTCACACATTTGCCATACTTAGAGGACTTTCACTAGTGTGGATATTCTGAAACCCAATAAGTACCATTTTGCATGTTGAATCTTTCCACTTTATTGAAAAGACTCTTCTTCAGTATAAACTCTCCAATGTCCGAGACAAGAGTCAAATCAAAATAACGTCCTAAGTTTCCTGAACACATATTTCTGCAGTGTAAATTCTCTGATACATAGTGATTGGAGAGCTGTATCTATATAATTACCCACACTCACGGCACTCAGTCTTTCTCCAGTGTGTATTGCCTGCTGTCCAGCCACAGTATGTTGGTGACTGAAGGCTTTCCCTCATCCACTGCATTCATAAGGGCTTTATCCAGTGTGGACTTTCTGATGTCTGAGAAGTGTGGAGTTATACCTAAAGAATTTCCCACATTCACTGCACTGCTTTGCTGCACTGTGAATTGTTTGGTGACAAATGAGGTGGGATTTTGTAAGAAAGGCCTTCCCACATTCACTGCATTCATAAGGCCGTTCTCCAGTGTGAACTCTTTGGTGTTGAATGAGTACAGATTTCAAGCTAAAGAATTTTCCACATTCATTGCACTCATAAGGCCTTTCTCCAGTGTGAACTCTCTGATGTCTACTGAGTGTAGACCTTTCCATAAAGAATTTCCCACATTCACTGCAACCATAAGACCTTTTTCCTGTATGAATTCTGTAATGCCTAAAGAGGTTTGAGTTGCACTTAAAGAACTTCCCACATTCACTACAACCATAAGGCCTCTTTCCAGTGTGAACCCTCTGATGTGTAATGAGTGTGGAACTCCACATAAACAGTTTCCCACATTCACTGCACTCATAAGGCCTTTCTCCAGAGTGTATTGTCTGGTGACGAACAAGGTGAGACTTACAAAAAAAGGCCTTCCCACATTCACTGCACTCATAAGGCCTTTCTCCAGTGTGAGTCTTCTGATGTCTACTGAGTGTGGACCTGTCCGTAAACAATATTCCACATATGCTGCACTTATAAGGTCTTTCTCTAGTGTGGATTTTCTCATGGTCAGCAAGTTTATTTTTGTGGCTAAAGGCTTTCCCACACTCACTGCACAAGAAGGTCTTCCCTGCCATGTAAACTCTGTGATTCTTCACAAATGATGGTCTTCCTCCATCCCCTCTGCAAAGTTTCTCTCTAATCTGCTCCTTTTGGTGCTGGTGAAGATGTGCTGGACACGTGTATGGCCCCTGCTCAGGGTGTGTTCCATTATGCTCAGCCAGACGCAGAATGTCCTTTAGAAGTGAGCTACATGTCTCACAGGGCTGGGTCTTTTGGGTAGATAGAGAGGGCTTTGGAGCCATGACCTGTGATACTCCTACAGAAACACCTTGCTCTAAAGGTGCCTCCTCATCCTCTGCTCCATGGCAACAACCTGTAAGAATAAAAATGCTGGTGAAGTGCATGCTGACTGTGATGAGTGGAGGCAACTCCATCACCAATGTCTGTCAGACACCACATGAAAATGATCATGGAACTGGTGACAGGCATGAACCTTGGTATTGTGACAGGTCAGGTCTCACTAATAGCTGAGCAGGCAGGCCTCCACGACAATGGTTTCAGGATGGACTGAGTAGTTAAGTTGATTAAAAGCTGATAGAGCCAGTGCCCTCATGCACAGGTTTTAGTAACCCCCAACATGGGCACCGAGGAAGGAGAGCTGTGCAGACCCCAGGCACAATTAGTGCCTGAAGGCTATTTTGTTTATAGTGTTATTACTCAGCTATTTCCTTTATATAATCCTTTATATATAATCAATCATATATTAGTTTATAGAATTAGTGCCTGAACCATAACTTACTGCTTACATATATCTAGCTTATATAATCATACTTAGTACTTATATCTAGCAGACTTAGTTCCATGTAATCTTTCTATATAGTCATATATATTATAGTCTATATAATCATATATATATTCTATATAATCATATAGGTATTATAGTTGGAGCTGTATCAACACATTTAGTGATGATTTATGTAATCTTTCTATATAACTATATAGTCGTTTGTAGTAGAAGGAATGCCTAGAGCAATCACACAGCAGAAGCAGTACATGGGAAAACAGCCAGACCAGGACAAGAACCAAAGACCCAGGCGGTGGCGCCCTGCCTGAAAGGGCATATGCTGTATAGCAGGCTTGGAGCAACAGCCTCTACTACTGCGCATGGCCCACCTCTCTGCCCAGGTGACATAATGGGGTAGCCCCCTTGCTTGTGACTCACATGATAATGTATGCCCTATCACTCCTCCTGAAAAAGGAGTTGTAGCACCTTCCATCCAGTTCCTGTGGAACGTAGGCCTCAGGCCTGAGATCCTGCAAATAACCGAGTGAGAAGAACCCCTCTGGTATGACCAGGTCACAGCACCTGTACACCCTGTCAGTCTTTTCTTGCTTCTGTGCTAGCTCAAATCATCCTCCCACAAATATCTTAAGAGAAGAGCACAAGTCTGTCAGCTCCCACTGCATTGGCTTACAGTATCTTTCCATTAGAAATCCTTTGAAGTCTCCAGCCCCCAGATAAGAAGTGTTGCACACGACACCTGTTGCACATACCCCACCTCCTTGCCTTGGTGACCTAATGGGGGTGGGCCCCTTTTCTGTACACGACCTTCTACTACTGCACACGGCACAGCCCCCTACTGCGCATGGCCCACCTCTCTGCCCAGGTGACATAATGAGGTGGCCCCTTTGTTTGTGACTCACATGATTATGTATGCCTTATCACTAAGCCTATAGATGATGACCTCACGTACGACCCTTCCCCCTGCTTGTACCTAATAAATACAGACGCTTCTGGACGTTTAGGGCCTCGCCTGTCTCTGCTCATAGGTGGCATGGCCCCTAGAATCCAGCTGCTCTTCTCCAGTTCTTCAGTGTCCTGTCTCTTTTTTTTTTTTTTTTT